TACAAACAAAGACATTGTGTCCGCCGAGAACTAAAAAATAAATATTAAAATTCTCAAAAAAAAAAAAGAAAAATCTTACACGCTGGGTGTGGTGATTCATACCTGTAATCCCAACTCACTTGGAAGGCTGAGGCAGGAGAATCCAAATTTGAGGCCAATCTTAGCTACCTGGAGCAACTGTTTCAAATTTTTTTTTTTTAATATTTATTGTTTAGTTTTTTAGGTGGACACAATATCTTTATTTATTTTTTATGTGGTGTTGAGAATTGAACCCAGTGCGCCGTGCATGCCAGGCGAGCGCGCTACCGCTTGAAACATGTCCCCAGCCCCTGTTTCAAATTTTTAAAAATAAAAGGGCTATGGTTGTATCTCAGTGTTAGCGCATTTACCTCACATGCATGAGGCCCTGAATTTAATCCCCAAAATGGGGTATGTGTCGGGTGGCTTGCAAAAATAAACAACTTTCTAATTTATACATGAATAGAATTAACTTTTTACAACCAAGAGGGGGAGTATAGCTTAGTGGAAGAGTACATGAGGCCCTTAGGTTTGATCCCCTTACAAATTAAATAACAATAGTAATAATGATAATAAAAATCACTTGGGGAAAAAAAAAAGTCAAGGTTAAGAATATGGCCAGAGGGCTGGAGTTGTGGCTCAGTGTTAGAGTACTTGCCTGGCATGTGTGAGGCCCTGGGTTTGATCCTCAGCACCACATAAAAAAATAAATACAATAAAAACATAAAAAGAAACAAAAGATCCATTAACAACTAAAAAATATTTTTTAAAAGAATATTTGCAGGAGTTTGGATGATGCTTGCCCTCAGAACAAACCTATGTATCAGCCATATGACCTTGAGCGTGTTTTCAGGAACTAAGGGAGATGCTGTTATCACTGGTGGGGGGGGGTGTTTGTAGGTCCTTTTTTTCCTTTAAGATCTTGAGGGCTACTTAAACAGAATTACCCCAATCTAAGCACTTATGCACTGACACAAATGTGATTTTAGCCAGGTGCAGTGGTGCACACCTGTAATCCCAGCTACTTAGGCTGAGGCAGGAGGATTTCAATCTTAAGGCCAGCCTCAGCAATTTGTGAGAACCTGCCTCAAAAAACAGGCGCCATGGCTTACACGCTGGGATCCTGAGGCAGGGAGAATTGCAAGTTCAGAGACAGCCTTAGCAATAGTGAGGTACTTAGCAAATCAATGAGACCCTGTCTCTAAATAAAAAATACAAAATAGAGCTGGGATGTGACTCATTGGGCATATGCCCCTGAATTCAATCCCTGGTACAAAAAAAAAAAAAAAACCCAACAACAACAAAGGACAAGAGATGTAATTTAGTGGTAGAGCATCCGTGGGTTTAATCCCTACAAGTTACTTGTAGTGGAAAGTATTTCAATTTTTCCTGCTTTCAACAAGTAGAAGAAACCTCCATCCTCAGGGTGCAATTCTGGAGGAGTAACCAAAGTGATCTTTCCTTTGAACAAGGGAGAACAGTGACACCTGGTGAATAAAGCTGCTTCTCTGCAAGGTAACCGGTGACTGGTTTTCCATCCTCAAGTGCCCTTTCTTGCTTGACTGGTAAGCATGGTAAGAGGAGCCACTGCAGCATGAATGGGTAAATTGTAAATCCAAGGTTGACTGAAATGGCATTTATCCTGCTTCCTGGCACCATTCGATTGGTTACAAGCTATCACAAATGATAGGAGGATCACTGACCCCACTGAGCAATTTCTGCCTATTCCTTGAGCCAGGAAAGAGTTTGATTCTGTGTCATCACATCATCATCATCTCTTTTTTTTTCCTTTCATTATCCCTCTTATGCCCCCTTTGAGCCAAAAATTCCAATAAGCAGAAACTTCAAAACAGATGGGTAATCATCAACAGCTTCTGGAAAGCCCTGAGAGTTGGAATTTGGACACACTCCCTCTGACCGTGACAGAAAGCTAAACTTGCCAGCTGAAGGGAAGCTCCTGGCTGAAGCCCAGCACCCTCTGTGGGAGCCTCCGGCCAGCCAGGCCAATAAGCATTCCTACCCATGGCCGCAGCTCTAGCATAGCTGAGCATTTGGTCCAGTGTCAAATGCTTCTGAAAATGTACACACAGATCGGGGCAGCCCTCTGCCTTCTGCCAAGACACTGAGTGCCCTTCTTGGCAAAAGATGATCACCCTTGCCCTAGTGTCCCTCTAGCTGGCAGAAACCATTCCCTCTCTCCTCACCAACAGCTGCAAATCCAGGGACTTCCACCCTGTGTGTGGGGGGGTAGGAGTGGGGAGTTGGGGTCCATTTAAGTTCTTTATTGCCGAGCCAGGAGCACTAGGTCCTTTGCTCTTGGCTTCTATTTGCCTCTTTGGGGGGATAATCATGACTGAAAGAGGTGACTCAAACCCCACAGTGCGTGATTTCACTGCTCTGGCAGTCTCAGCTATCAACAGGATCTCATCACCCCCAGAAACACTACACCTGAGGACCCCAGCTAGGTGGATGCTTCTGGAGCAACATGGTTTTCTCTCTGACCTTGGAGGTCTAGTTATTGTTCTCTAAGCATCTAAGGAATTAGTTGATTTTATGGCCAGCAGCTGTCCTTTTACCATCCTATTAACAGTCTTTAATGGTCTGGAAGAGGGACATGAAGGGCCCAAGGCAGGAAGCTTCCTGTTTACCCTGAGGTCTAACAATGCCACAGCTGGGTTGGGTCTACAATTTCAGAGAAGTCATTTCCTTCTGAGACCCTGCTAAAACAGAAACCAGACACTTCGCTTAACTAAAAGTAGAGGGTTGTTTTTTTTTTTCTTTCTTTTTTTTTTCCTTTTATGAAGGTGAGAGGAGAGGGAGTGTTTGACTTTACCATTCCCCCTGGGGAAGGGGGTGGGGAAGGTCACTCCTTTCCTTGAACAGACCCTCTCATCTTCATCTAAAAATATAATAATGTGCAGCCTCGAGAAATTTGAAATTGATTCTTTCAGCAGTTGTTTATCACTGCCTACTTTAGGCATTGACCAAAGGAGAGTCAGCTATCCCTCCTGTCCTCAACTGTCTAATGAATTGCTAGCAGATTCACAGAAACAATAATTAAGGTAGAAAGTAATAAATTCTGGGGAGTAGGATGACACCTACACTTCTTGCTCTCTGTCTCTACTTCAACTATTTTTTTTGTGTGTGTGTGTGGTAGTGGTGATTGAATCTAGGGCCTTGTATTCGCTAGGTCAGTGCTATACCACTGAGCAACATCTTCAGCCTTTCTCTTATTTTAATTTTGAGATAGCAATTTGCTAAGTTGCTGAGGCTGACTTTGAACTTGCAATCTTCCTGCCTCAGCCTCCCGAATTGCTGGAATTACAGGTGTATGCCACCATACCTGGATGAATACTTTACTTCCATTTATATTCCATTGGCTACGAGTCCACTGGCCAGATCCACTATAAGGGAAGGGGAGGTAGGGTGCCAAAAATAATTTTTTTGTATGACAATTCTGAATATTGCACAAGACATACTTACTTCATTGTTTGGCTAGAAACAGTGGTGCATGCCTGTAATCTCAGGGACACAGGAGGCTGAAGCAGAAGGATTGCAAATTCAAAACCAGCCCGGGCGACTTAGCAAGATCCCATCTCAAAAAATAAAAGGCTGGCAGTGTAACTCAGTGGTGGTGGTGGGGAGAATCTTGGTTGTTTTGAAATTCGAATGTAACTGGCATCTTGTATTTTTATTTGCTAAAATCTGGCAACCCTACTGGGAAATGAAGTCTAGTATAGGTTCAGTAAGATAAGAACACAGATATGTGCATGTCACAGAGTACCTTACTGAGCCAAATACCTGTTTTTCCTCAGAATAAACTCACCCCTTCCCTAGGGAAATAACCCCCAGTGCCATCTAATCATTATCATATTTAGCCCAAAGTCTCTCAATCAGTTTCAGATAAGGTTCCTTATGGTGATTTATGCACAGAAAGAATATATTATCTGTATTTCATAAACACACCCAAATACATTGGTAGATCAGGAGATAGATAACCAGTTGAGCCTTCCGTTTATAATAGGAAAGCAGTGAGCGGCACAATA